ATCTTTATTATTTATTATTACGTTTTTTATTATCTTCATTATTTATTATATTGTGTTTATTATTATCTTCATTATTTATTATTATGTTTATTATTATTACTAGCAAGAATTCGCGCGCTAAAGCGTGCGGCTAACTCTTTAATAATTAAAAAAGAATTAAAAAAAAATTTTAATTTAAAAATTAGCAATTTTAAAAATAATAGAATTTAAAAATTTGTAGTTCAAATTTTTGTTAAAAACACTAAAAAAATCCAATTTTTTAAGAATTACAAATAATTGCAAAAATTCAATTATTTTCAAGAGTGATAAAATTCTTCTCATAAAATTCAATTATCTATCAAATTTAAAAAAAGAATTCTCGTCAAATTCCTAATTATCTTTATAAATAAGAAAATTCTTCCCCAAAGTTCAATTATTTTCAAATCAATTTCAAATTTCCAGAATTATTACGCAAACATTTAATTATTTTCATAAAAAATAAATATTTCTCAGGAATTCAATTATTTACAAATTTTTTATAAACTCTTTCGCAATAATTCAATTATTTTCATAAATAATAAAAAAAATTTTAAGGAATTTAATTATTTTCATAAAAAATAATTAAAAATTGTAAAAAATAATAATTGATTTGAAATTATGAAATTAATTTTAAAGAGGTACAATATACTTATAATATAAAATGATGATTTTATCAATTTGACATTTTTAATTATTATAAAATATTCTTATAAATTAATGAATTTAAAAAGATGAATAATTTCAAATTCAAACATTAAAAAAAATTCAATTATTAATTAATTATTCTTGTTTATTAATTTCAAAAAAATTTTAATAAAATTCTTTGCAAGTATTCAATTATTTTCATAAATAATAACATTCATCGTAAGGATTCAATTATTTTTAAAAACATTAACATATTTTGCAAAATATCAATTACTTTCAAAAAAATTTCACAAAAGAATTCAATTTTTTTTAAATTCGTTACAAAAATTTAATTACTCTCAAAAAATTTTCATGAAAGAATTCAATTATTTTCTAAAATTTTAATAAATCCTTCGAAACAATTCAATTATTAACAAAATAATTTCATGAAAGAATTCAATTTTTCTAAAATTCGTTACAAAAATTCAAATACATTAAAAAAAATGTTATGAAAGTATTCAATTTTTTCTTATCTTTATAAAAAATTTCAATAGAATTCAATTATTTTCTAAAATTTTAATAAATTCTTCGAGGAAATTAAATTATTTTCTAAAATTTTAATAAATCCTTTGAATCAATTTAATTATATTTATAAATATAATAAATTCCTTTCCAAAAATTCAATTATTTTCAAAAAATTTTTACGAAAGAATTCAATTTTTCTCAATTGGTTATAAAATAATTCAACAGAATTCAATATTATTTTCTAAAATTTTAATAAAATTCGTTATGTAATTAAATGTTTAATTTCAATTATTAACAAACACGATTTTTTTGAAAACTTGAAAGAAATTTTTCATAAAATTCTATTATTTTCAAAATTTTTCATTAAAATTATTTTTAAAAAAAACTCCATTATTTAAAAAAAAAATTGAACAAAATTCTTCAAAAGAATTTAATTAAGATTATCAAAAATTTTAATAAAATTCTTGTCAAGAATTCAATTATTTTCACAAATATTAAAATTCTTCGGAGAAATTCAATTATTCTCAAAATCTTTTGATAAAATTCTTTGCAAGAATTCAATGATTTTCAATATATTAATTTTAAAATTGAAAAAAATATTTAAAAAGAAAATTTATTAACTATTATTTTTAATATTGTAATAATGTTAACATTAAATTATAGTATTTTTAAATTTTTTCTTATTTATTCATTTTTTAATCACTAATTTTTTTATTTATTTTTTATTCATTGATTTTGTTATTCATTTTTTATTTATCGATTTTTTGATTTATTTTTTATTTATCGGTTTTTTTTATTCATTTTTTTACTTATTTTTTTCTTATTTATTTAGATACCAAAAATTTATCAATTTGTTTATTATTCATTATCTTTTTTTTTCGATTGTGTTTTCACGTCTTTTTTCATTTTGTTTAATAAAAATGAGAATGTAATATTTTCTTACCTTATCCTCTTTGTTGAATTTCTTTCTCCTTTACTTCTTTATCATTCTTCTTCATTTCAATTTTATCTTTCTTATTCTGAAGTATTTGATCTTTTGGGAATAACTTTTGAAAAAAAATTCAGTGGTATCAAAAAACGAGATATATATAAGATTAAACCTCCAGTAGTTGTTTGAAAATTAAAGTCACGGTGACTGGAACTTTTAAATATTTTTCATTGACTGTAATATTTTTTTGGGGGGAAAAATAAATCTGATGACTTGACAAAAATAGAAAGTATGTAATATTTTTCATTTGACTTCAAAAATATTTGTGTTGATCTCAACATTCAAATGCAAAAAAATATCTTTCGCAAAAAAAAAAAATTTTTAATTTTTTTAACTGTTTAAAATTATTTAATTAATTTTAGGTACATTTATAAGTAATATAAAATTACAATTATCATAATATTGCAGTAGTTGAAAATTCAGTTTAAAAATGAAAAATTAATTTGAAAATTCAGTTTAAAAAAAATGCCGTTAAAAATGAAAAATTAATCCAATTTTTTTTTCGAAGGTAAAGATAATTTTTGAAGTCAGATAATACGTGACTTGAAGAAAAATTTGAAATTTTAAAAATACACAATCTCTATATTTGAACTTAGAACATTAGAGTGATAGATTACAGTTACATATTTGGAGATAAAAATAGTGGGAAAAAATTCCTCTTGAGTTATTGTTGGCCTAAACCCTTTTGTGTACCTACGTGAATAGACATGAAGAAATGGAGGGAATAGGTCAGGGAACTTTTTTTTTTTGAAGGAAGGGATTTCTCTCGCTTGGATACAGTTAAAAATTATGTAATTTTATAAATTCGATATTTTTTTTTCGTTTTTTACAATTTTATGATTTTTTCTCCATTTGTATAATTAGTACAAAAATGCAAGTTCCGTTTGTAGTGAAAATGAAAAATAAAAATAAAATTATAATTATTATTATATTATTAGATATATTTTAACAATTAACACTATAATTATGATTCATTCGAACCTAAAATAAAAAATAAGTGATTAAAATAAATAAATAATAATATAATAATTAAAGTTCTTATCATTTTTATCGGATATTGAAAAAATATCTATTATTATTTTTTAGTAATAGTTTAGTAATTATATTAGTGAAAAGAAGTAAAAAGTAAATTTTTAAATTACAAGTTACATTTTCCAAAATATTTTTTTAAACGTTTGAACCAATTTTTGAAGAAAAAAACATAAATACTGCGAAAAGAAAGAAAAAATTAAAATACCTTTGACAAATAAATCTATTTTTAGAGACGATATTTTTTCACTATTCTTTATAACTGAATGTGGAATAATTTAAAAAAAAATTTCAATACAAAAAATTCTATTTTCAAAACTCTGCTATTGTATATTTTCCAATAAATATGAATTTATTTTCACTTATTTACATCCGGTCCTTGTCAATTTGTGCAGAAAAAATTATTTTTTTCTTTATTCTTGTTATGTGAAACTGTTTGTATTTAAAAATTATTCGGAGGGACAATATAAATAATTAAATAAAAGGAAAAATAATAAAAAATTATCACAATATTTCAGAAACAATTTCAAAAAACGAAAAATAAATTTAAAAAATCAGTAACCAGCAATATTTGAGAAATAATCCAAAAATACAATTTTTTTGGAGAAAAAATTAATAAGAAAATTTTTCAATATTTTGGAAATTTAATTTATCACAAAGAATCAAATAATTACCACAATATTTTATAAATATTTAATAAAAAGAAAAATTAATACAAAATATAAACTAATAAAAATTTAAAAAAAAAAAAAAAAAAAAACTAATAAAAATATAAGTTTCAAAATATTTTGTAAAAAATTTAATATTAAAGAAAAATTAATAAAAAGAATTACCACAATATTTCGGAAACACTTTCAAAAAACGATAAAGAAATAAAAACAGTTACCACAATATTGTCGAAATAATTTAAATAGAAAGAAACAATAAAAAAAAGAATATAAAAATATTTTAATATTAAAAGAAATCCAAATATTTTTGGGGAAAAAAAATTAATAAAAAAAATATAACAATATTTTGAAAATAATTTAACAAAAAGAAAAATAATTAAAAAAATTACCAAAATATTTTTAGACATAATTAACAAAAAGAAAAGTTAATAAAAATAATTACTGGACAATATTTTGTAAATAATTTAATAAAATGAAAAATTAACAAAAAGAGAAACTAATTAAAATTTATCAAAATATTTTGGAAAAAATTTAATAAAAAGGAAAAATTAATAAACAAATTACCACAATATTGTGGAAATTTAGTAGAATAGAAAATTAATAAAATAATATCACAATATTTTGGAAACAATAAGAAATGAATATCAAAATATTTTAGAAAATCAAAAGAAATCCAAAAATCCAAATACTTATTTTAGGAAAAAAGAAAAATTAATTTTAAAAAATTACATTATTTGGGAAATAATTTAACAAAAAGAAACATAAATCAATAAATGACCAAAATATTTTGGAAATAATTAATAAAATGAATTACTGCAATAATATTTTGTAAATAATTTAATAAGAGAAAAAATCAATAAAGAAATAAACTAATAAAAATGTATTTATTAGTGAAAATAAATTTTTTGAAAAAATTTAATAAAAGGAAAAAATAATTAAAAAATATCGCTTCTTCAATGAAGAGAACACTGTTTATGAATGAAAATAAATTTCCTGACAATAAAACTGCATCAGTAATAATATACAAAAGAAAGAAAAGAAAATGTAGAAGAGTCGAAATCGTCAAGTGGAGGGGGTGAAGATCTCGGTTCTCCATACATTATTAGTACCCGGGACATTTCCGTATCCAAGACAGTTTCGTCTTATAGTCGAAGAAGAAACTACCATTTAAGGAAGAGAATAATCTTCACCAACTGAATTACATACCAAATTTCATTATAGAATTATTTTTCCTTTTGTTTTTTTTCTTCTTCTTTTAAAAAAAAAATTTTTTTATTTATTATAATTCTAATTTATACCGACATTTATTTGTGTGTATTTTATATTTTTTATTTTATTTTTAATTTTTTTTCTGAAATTAAACATGGAAAATGTTGAGGAGTACATTAAAGCCAACGACCTTCAGACACGAGATGCCTGTGATGTTATCGAAGAATTCACTGATGAAATTTATCGAATGAGAGGCAGGTGCATTGACATTGGATGTGGACCCGGAACATTTAGTAAAAATTTCCTCCTACCAAAATTGCATCCCGATTCTGTATTGATTGGTGAGTTTTGTTTCTTCTTTTATTTATATTCATTTTATTGGAGCATTTTTTACATTTTTCTTTGATTTTTCTATATCCTTTGTTTTATATTTATATAAAAGTATTTTATATCTTTTTGTTTATTTATTTATTTATTTATTTATATGTTGAATATAAAATATATGGGTATACTATATATAATATAATTCAATAAATAATATATATTTTTATATTTATATATATTTAATTATTTGTTTACTAATTCATTATATAATTTTTTATTATATTAATATTTATTAATTTTTAGTCAATTTTTGTCTTTTTAGTTTTCTTCCATTTTCTCAAAATATAAAATTTAATTATTCTCAAATAATCGATCAATTGCATCAAAGAAATTGAGATAGAAAATAATTTTAAAAAAATTAAACAATACAAAATAATTTAATATTTAATAATAATTTAATACAATAATTTAATATAATAATTTAATAACAATAATAATAATAATAATAATAATAATATTTCATAATTTAATATTCAATTTACAATATTTATTTTACAATAATAATAAATCAGATTTTTTGGTTTTATTGTTTTCTTTTTTTTACGAAATAATATTAATCGAAAAATGTGTAACGTAATTAATATTTCTTTCCAAGTATAATGATTAATAAATAAACAAAATAATTATTAAAGTATTCGTTTTGAAATAATTATTTTTTTATTTTCAAAATGTAATTTATTTTTTTTTATTCTCAAATAATCCGATTATTTGCATCAAAGAAATTAAAAAAAAAAGAAAAACAATAAAATTTGTTTTGTAAAATTTTTATTATTTTTAAAAATGCTAAATATCAATCGTCGATGACAGTTTAATTATACTTTGGATATAATAACAAAAAAAATTTAACAACGGTCATAAAAACTAATGGAATCGATTGATTGCAGCGATTATTCGTGCTCCTCAAAAATCGATTATTTGCTAAAAACTCGGCATTTCAATTATAATTAGATTGTTATCTAGTCCATTCTCTATTTTTTTTTTCTCTTGAATTTATTATATTGTGTTCATACAAAACACGTCGACAATAATTTTTCAAAATATAAAATTTCCTTGTTCTCAAATAATTGATTGATTGCATCAAAAAAATGATCTTTCTTGCGAGAAAGGAAATAATTTTTAAAAAATCAATTAACAAATACTAAATAAAAATTTTTTCTTTATTGTTCAATTTACTACAATCATACAAAAAATATAATAATTATTATTATTATACAAATTAAAAACATTTGTTATTTTCAAACATTAATTTCAATTTTGTAAAAATTTCATAATGAAAATTTCAAAAATTCAATTATTCACTTATTTACTAATTAATTAAAATTGTTTTCAAAAACTTTAATAAAATTCTTCGCAGTAATTCAATTATTATTTTCAATAACAATTCAATAAAATTATTTTTAAAATTTGATAAAATTGTTATCAAAAATTCAATTATTTTGAAAAATTTTAATTAAATTTTTAATGATAATTGAAATATTTTAAATACAATTTTAATTAAATTACTCCAAAAAAATTCAATTATTTTAGAAAATTTTAATAAAATTCTCATCAAGTTGTCAATTATTTTCATTATTTATAAAATTTTTCGCAGTGATTTAATGATTTTAAAGAATTTTAATAAAATTCTTCTCGGGAATTCCAATATTTTCAGCACAATTTCAATAAAATTTCTCAAAAAATTCAATTATTTTTTTAAATTTTGATAAAATTCTGCACGAAAATTCAATTTTTTTAAAAATTTTGATAATAAAGTCCTTATGAGAATTGAAATATTTTTAATACACTTTTCATTAAATTACTCCATAGAATTCAATTATTTTTGAAAATTTCAATAGAATTCTAAGCAAGATTTCGATTATCATATAATTTATAAAGTTTTTCGCAGTAATTGAATTTTAATAAAATTCTTCGCAGAAATTTTATTACTTTGAAAAAATTTTGATCAATTTAATTATGAGAATTCAACTATTTTTATAATTAATAAAAATCTTTGGAAAGAAGTTAATTATTTTAAAGAATTTCCATGAAATTATTCCTAAAAATTTTATTATTTCGAAAAGTTTCAATAAAATTCTTCATAAGAAAAAAATTTAATTAATAACTTTTAAAAAAATTTAATTCCTTTCCTAAATAATAAAATTAATCCCAGAGAAATTTAATTATTTTGAAAAATTTTCGTAAAATTCTTCGTCCAAGAATTCATTTAATTTTAATACCTAAAATTTTAATAAAATTCTTACAAAAATTTCAATTATTTTTATAATTAATAACATTTTTAGAAAGAATTCAATTATTTTAAAAAAAATTTAATAAAATTTCTCGAAAGAATTCAATTATTTAAGGAAAATTGAATTATAACGTATTCTTTGTCAGTAATTCAATTATTTTTAAAAATTTTTACAAAACTCTTTAGAAGAATTTAAATATTTGTAATATTTGTCTTATTGAAATTTCACGTAAAAAAATAACTTATTTTTTAATATTTTAATTACATTTTTGATTTTTCGCAAGAAATTTAATTATTTTGGATTCGAAAAATCTTTTTTTTTTTATAAAAATTAAATTATTTCAGATTCAAAATTAAAAAAGAAATAAATAAGAAATAATGTATAAAAATATTTTGTAATTAAAGACAATTTCGATTTAATTAATTAATTTTTGGTAATTATTAATCTTGAAAGCATTAAATTAAAATTTCCATACTTTTAAAATTTAAAACGTTAGGAAAAAAAATATAAAGAAAAATTAGGAAACAAAAAGCAACAATTTTTTTTCTATCCCATTGACACATAATTAATAGAAATAAAAATAAACAATTAATTATTCCTATTGTTCTAATTATGAATACATATAGGTGCTGACGTATCCAAACAAATGATTAAATATGCACGAAAGACATGCACCGATGAGGACAGAATGGATTTCGTTGAATTAGATATTGAAACGGCAAAAATTCCGGCAACTGAAATTGGACGTTATGATAATGCACTTTCCTTTTATTGCCTCCATTGGATTCAAAATCCCAGGTAAATGAGAATACAAAAAATTTTTTTTTGGCAAAATTTATTGTTGACAAAATAAAAATCTTTATGAATATAAAAATAGATAAGCGTAAAATAAAATTTGAATAAAATTTTGTAACAATTTTTTATTTTTGAAAATTTTCAGAAGAGCATATGAAAATATCTATCAATTATTACAACCTGGTGGTAAAGTTGTCATAACATTTTTGACATTCAACAGTGGTTTTCAAGCATATTTGAAATTGAGCGAGGATCCAAAATATAAATCTTACATGAAGGTGAGAAAAAAATTGTCTTGATTTTATTTATTTATTTATTTTTTTTTTTTAATTTTAATATTTTTTATAATCACTTTTTTGTTTTATTTTCTTTTTTTTAGGATGTACGGAAATTTATACCACCAACACTGACCTACAACAATGTAAGAGCGGAATTGAAAAAAATGTTGGAAGAAACTGGCTTCGAAGTAATTCACTGTAGTAATAGAGAAAAAACTTTTGTTTACAAGAGCATGAAAATTTTGAAAAGTAATTTGATTTCTAATATCTTTTCTTTTTAGTTACGATAATAATTTTTTTATTTTCATTATCAAATCGATTTTTTCTTATTATTTTAGTTCTTTTTTTGCATGTTTCGCATTTTTTCGCACTTTACTCTCTAAATTTCAATTAGTAAAAATGTTTACTGACAATTTAAATCTGTAACTGACTTTTTGTTTTGAAATTAGTAAATTTTACTTAAAAAAAGTAATTTAAAAATAATTTAAAAGTAATTTCTGCTTAATTAATTAGTAAATTAGTAGAAATAATAATTTATTAATAAATTTTACTAAAAAAACTAGTAGAAACTATTTATTATAGTAAAATTTACTAGAAAATTAGTAGAAATAAATATTTATGAGTAAAATTTACTAATTCGAAAGCAAAAATTCAATTTCAAAAAATTAGTAAACATTTTTACTAATTGAAATTTAGAGAGCACAATATTATTTTATTTTCATTATTAAATCTCTGCCTTAGAAATTATTTCACTTTTTTCCATTTCCAATTAGTTTAAAATTTTATTTATTTTAAAAATAAAAATAATAAGGAAAATATAATAATAATAATAATAATAATAATAATAATAATAATAATAATAATAATAATAATAATAATAAAAATTAAAATTAGAACAGAAAAAATAACTAATAAAAAAAAATATTTTGTTGAAATTAGAAGTAATTTATAATTACTGTCACTTTAATTAATATCGCAGTGTAATAATAATTTTATTATTAATTTACAGATCACGTACGTGCTGTTAATCCATTTCTTCATCGAATGCCAGATAATGTCGCAGAAGAATACATGACAGATCTTGTGCGTGAAATTGTAAATGAGAAAATCATTTGTATTAACAAAAATAATTTAAACAAAGAAGAGTACAGTATATTAGATAAATATCAAGTTTTAGTTGCATATTTTAAAAAGCCATTGAACACTGATAATTAAAAATAGTTTTTATAACAATTATAAATATATATAATTATAAATAATAGTGTAATATTTATTGAAGAATAAAAAAAAAGAAAATAATTTTTATAATATTTTAATGTCGTTAATTATTTATAACACGTCTTTGAAGAATTTAATTATATAAAAATAAAAATAATAAAATTCAATGAATATTATCATGAAGAATAAAATTTTTCACATGGAATACAATATTATTTGAAATACAACTTTCAAGAAAATTTTTCGAAAAAATATCAATTATTTAACATTTTTTAATAAAATTGTTTGAAAGTAGCTAATTAATTATTTTCTAAAACGTTAACATTGATAACATTTGTTTATAAGAATTAAATTATTTTCATAAATAATAAAATTTTTCGCCAGAATTCAATTATTTTTAATATAATTTCAATTTAATTATTCAAAATAATTGAATTATTAACTGTTAAATTTTCATAAAGTGATTCAAAAAAATTCAATTATTTATAAAAATTAAAAAAAATCCTTCGCAAGAATTCAATTATTTTTAAAAATAATAAAATTATTTTCAGAAATTCAATTATCTTTAAAAATAATAATAAAATTTTTCACAAGAATTCAATTTAAGGTATTTTCCTAAATAATAAAATTCTTCACAAGATTTCAATTATTCTTAATACAATTTTTAATGAATTCCTCGAAAAATCTAATTATTTTCAAAAGTTTTGTTAAAATTCTTCAAAAGCAATGAATTATTTTCGAAACTTTAGTAACATTCTTAATATTCAATTTTAAGAAATAATCAATTATTCCATCAATTTATTCCTTTTTGGGTTTAAAGAATTCAATTCTTGTTGAACTTTATAATAAAAATTGATTTAAAAATTAATTTCAGTTAAAATTATTGATAATAATTGAATATCAAAAGCATTATAGCGTGAATTTTTAGAAATAATTGAATTTTGAAAATTCAATTATTTTCAAAAGTAATAAAATTCATCCCAAAAATTCAATTATATTTAAAATTTTTTTTAAATTTTCATCTAAATTTCAATGATTTAAATTTTAATGAATAATAAAATACTTCCCCAAAATTCAATTATTTTCAAAATTTTTAATAAAATTCTTGACAAAATTTCAATTATTTTCAAAAAATATCCTCAATTCAATGATTTTTAATATCTACTGTTTTAATAAAATTTTCCAAAGGACTTCAATTATTTAAAAAAATATTTAATAATATTCTACGCAAACATTCAGTTATTTACATAAATTATAATAAAATTCTTTTTAGGAATTCAAGTATTTTCAAAAATAATAAAACTTATTGCAGAATTTCAAGTAATAAAATTTTCTCAGGAATTTAATTATATAAAAAATTGAATGAAATTCGTTTGCAAGAATTCAAGTATTTTTATAAAACATAAAACTCTTTATAAGATTTCAATTATTTTTAATACAACTTTAAATAATAGTTTTGTTAAAACTCTTCAAAAAAATGATTTATTTTTAAAATTTTGATAAAATTCTTTTTTTTTTTTTTTTTTCTTTTAGTAGGTATTCAATTTTTAAGAAATAATCAATTATTTTATGAATTCTTTATTTGTGTATTTAAAGAATTGAATTTTTCTTGAACTTTCTAATAAAAATTGATTTAAAAGTTAATTTCAGCTAAAATTTTAGATAATCACTAAATATGAAAAGCATTATAGCTTGAATTTTTAGAAATAATAATTGAATTTTGAAAATTCAATTCTTTTCAGAAGTAATAAAATCTTTTCAGAAATTCAATTATATTTAAAAATTAAAAAAAAATTCTCGTTAATAATTCATGTATCTTTATAAATAACAAAATTCTTCTTTTACAATTCATTAATTTTTAAAAATTTGAATGAAATTCTTGGAAAAATTTCAATTATTTTCAAAAATTTTCCTTAATTCAATGATTTTCAATATACCTATAATATTTAATAAAACTTTTCCAATGAATTTATTTATTTAAAAAAAAAATGTAGGCAGAATTCAACGAAACCATTTAATTATTTTCACTAAATAATAAAAATTTCTCAGCAATTCAATAATTTACAAATGTTTTATAAATTTCTTCGCAAAAATTCGATTACTTTCAATAATTTTTAAAAATTTCAATTAATTTAATAAATAAGAAAATTCTTCTATAAAATTCAATTATTTTTAGAAATTTTAATAAAATTCTTGACAAATTTTGATTAATTTCTCAAAATTTCTTCAATTCAATTATTTTCAATAACTACCTGTTTTAATAAAATTTTTCAAAAGAATGTAATTATTTAAAAAATTTTTTTTTTTAATATTCTACGCAAACATTCGATTATTTTTATCAGTAATAAAACTCATTACAGTATTTTAAATAATAAAACTTTTCTCAGGAATTCAATTATTCAAAAAAATTTATTGAAATTCGTTGCAAGAGTTCAATTTTATTAATTTATTTTCATAAATTATTATTTAAAACTTTGATAAATTTTTTTATAAGTATTGAATTTTAAAAAATAATCAATTATGCTATCAATTATTTATTTTTGTATTTAAATAATTGAATTGTAGAATTTTCTAATAAGAAATTGATTTAAAAATTTATTTCAGTTAACATTTTGGGGAAAAAGACGTTTAAATTCAAGTTTATTTAATTCTAGTAATTTTTATAAAACGAAAAGTTTGAGAAATAATTGAATTTCATAAAAATCTAGAATCGAAGTTTTTACCAGGATAAGAAGAAAAGTGAATTTTTTTTTATGGAAACTAGGAAAAATGTCAGAATCAAATTTTCATGATTATTCTGAATCGACTAAAACGATTATTTAGTTGTATTTTAATTTTTCGATAGCTACATTTTTACTACTTTCTTGAGTCTTAAAGCTTCTTTTTGCTGATTTTCTAAAATTATTTATTATGCCACGTGCTCCGAAGAAAAAAATTTATAAATTAGAAAAAAATTTATAAATTAAATTTTTTTTAAATTTTAATTTATAATTATAATTATTAATTAAATTTATAATTATAAATTATTTTACTAATAAAAAAAAAATAAAAAATTTCTGAATATTGCAAAAATCACTCGGCTCTATTAGAAAATTATTGATCAATTTTTAAAAAAGAATTAACTATATAGACAGCGAAGTATTGTTAAAAAGTAATTTTAATATTATTATAGTTTATAATTAATAATATTATAGTTATATTAAAATTTAAAATTACTTTTTAACAATTTATATATAAGGATAATAATTATTCTTCATAATACTAATGGTTTCGTGGCCAATAGGGAAGAGAAGAAAGAAAGAAATAGAGGGAATTTTTTTTCTATAACATTACATTTTATTTTAATCTATCGCTATGACCTTACATGTGCGGTATAGCCATTTATAGAATAATGTTATTATTCTCAAATCGTCTCATAGATATATACGTAGGTATGTATTTTATTACTGAGTTTTCACACAGCAGGTAACAATTGTCACTAATCTAAATTCTAAAAAATACATTCAGGTTTACATATTTTTTTTTTCTTTTTTTTTGTTTCTTAACTACAAACATCGATTTACGACACATGTCGTGTATCAATCGTTATAGAAGACGTACGTATTTTTTTAAATGACTGTGATATACATATTGCATATTTAACCCGTGTGTATTAGGGGTGGGGTAATGTGACACATATTAGAAACGTCACCAAATGGAATTTAATGAAAAAATTCATCTTATTTCCTCAAATGAAGAACAACAAAGAATATTTCTTATTTTTTTGTATTTGCTTAAATTTTTCTTTTTCTTCTTCTATTTTATCTTTTTCTTCTTAAGAAAAAGAATTTAACAAACAAAGTTTTGATCTTTTTTTGTTTTTTTTTATTTCCTTTCTTTTGTTTTTCGTAAACTTTTTTAATTGGAAGATAAAAAATATTTTTTTTCGGGACTAAGAAGATTTTTTTTTTTTTTTAGATAATTTCTGAATATCACAGGAGTTTTAACTTTTTGTCCTCAAAGCGATATCAACACGACTAACATTATATTTAAATATGGAAGGAACTCAAGTGTATTAGACAATTATTTTCACGAAATAATCGCAGTAACAATTTTTTTAAAAATTTATTTTATTGTTTTTTATTTTAATTCATTTTAATTCATTTTAATTCATATTTTTGTTTTAATTATTAAATATCATTATTATCGTCATTTTATTTAAGATACAATATGGTATAGAGATTTTTATCGTTCTGTTTTGTTTTTTATTTATAGGACACATTTCACACACCACTTTTTATCCCCTTTAAAACAACGCAACGCTTTTACAACTTTTATACTTTCGCATATTTTTTTTTTCTAACTCTCTTGAAAAATTGTTTTTAATTTTTTTTTTTTTTTTTTTGGTAAAACAAAAATGTATTTGGTAAAAAAAAAATTTTGGATGAATTTTTTTAGAGTAGTGATAATAATTAAGAAGTGAAACAGAATTTTAGAATTTTTAATTCGGATTTTCATTCTAAATTAAAAAAAAAACTCTTCGTATACTTGTTACAATTAGTAACAGTGAATAAATTTTTTTAAACATCGACTTTGTTTTTTTAAAGGTTAATAGATTTTTGACGGAAAAGCACTGGTACTTTTTTTCAGGGTGTATTTATAGATTTTTAATTATATGATTTTATTTTCCTAATTTCATTTTTAAAAAACTGTTTTTCTTTCCTAAAAACGAAAAAAGAAAATAACATAATATTTTCTTTTTTAAAAACAAAAATTTGTTATTTACTTACAAAAAATATAACATAAATAATAGATTCTAATAAAAACGAAAGCATATTTTTGTTTTTCCTTCTTTTATTATTTAATATATTTTTTAAACTAATTATATTTCATACTGCAGCGATTATTGTGTAATTTTTTTTTTGTTTAAATATAAATGCAGTAAAAAGGTACTGTTCAATCTTAAAAGCGACATCGAACATTGAAGACATTTATTTTTTTTTCTTTTGAAAAAATTA